ACGCGATATGCCTGATTAGGCGGTGTGAACACTCGTGCGAGCTGCAATTTCATCTCCGCCCAGGAGGGAAACACAGATTCGACCGAAGTCACTGTCAATATTCGCGCTCGATCACCAAGCTTTGATATGGCTCGCGCCGCCCGCTGTTGCTCGGTTAAGAGCATGGCGGATGCGATGACCATCTCGACCACTCTCACTCAGAGCAGGAGATTCTCTCCTTCCTTCATCTCAAAGACCATCCTGCTCACCATGAGCGGCTTAGGTCGTGGGAAGTCTTCCGTCACCGACGGTGGCGTCATAGACGCAAACGATGCAGACATCTTCTACTGCAGGAACTCTAGCAGCGCTTTTTCGTAACTCGAAAACGCCTCTAGACGCGCACCGAGTGCCTCGGGGCCTTGTGCTACAAAGTGTTGCACGCCCTCAGGGCCAAGCAAGGACATCAGATTATTAGACCGTCCTGCATGCCCTGGGGCAAAGATGAAAATTCGTCAATCCTCACAGAGGATCAGTCGAAACGACTCAGGTGTAGATTGACTACAAGTGCAGCGGGGCTGCCGTAGCTAAGCGCTTGAGGAAGCGTACTTTATGTCACCGACCTTTCGTTCTTTACAAGAACCAAGTCTGAGTTAGCGGATCGCAATCCGCTTACTCTAAGAGTAATTACTGCCTTCCCAAGGCTAATAGACTCTTTTGTCTAAATTCAAACTGATCTTTATCCATTTTTTATTAATTCTAAAAGTTTAGATTTTCCTAAATATACTAAATATATATAGTAAAATCTAATCACATGCATAATCACTGGCTACCTAGCCCCGTACTGTATTCCTGTTTGGGTGTGGTCACACCATGCACATCTCCTGTGACGCACACACCCCTGTATTCAGGGTTCGTGTAACCCCGTTACACGGCCCTCAAAGACCATGACACGGCCTAAGTGAGCAGTATCTGTTTTTACTTTATCTCCTAGTTGGGCCGCTCCTGGCCGCACCGATGCGTTCTCAAAGCTGGTGAGCGTGTCCAAGCAAGCGTCCACAACCTTCGATGCTTCGGCCGTAATCGCAGCAGGGCCCACTAAAGACCAAGCTTGTTAAGCTCGTCTATCTGCTGCACATGAATATTTTACGTTCCATCATTGTAAAAATTCCAGTCTTTTCACGACTCGGTCACTGATTAACTATGTGTGCTAACAATTGCAACGTGGTGTCGTGCAATTTGCATAGAGAAGCTTTGACTCAAAGAGTCTGCATCAGCAAACGCACAAAGATTGGGTTTAAGCGCTCCTACCAGGAGCGGAACCGAAATGTATTAAGGTCTCTAAAACTTTTATTTTGCACTGGCTATGTTTGGAACACGAATCCTTCCTGATCGGAGGCTTCTTCATCTTCGGTACTCACAATTATACCAATGTGTGATGTGAATTTCATACAATCGTACCGTATTGTATCTAATATTATTGTACAAATTGCACAATCTATATGCTCACAACTTTACAGAAACTTGACGTTAAACACAGCGCTCTCCGAAGACCGAGATAATTTTTAAGGGGACTTTTTGTTCAGCTGCCAAAGTTCGAATACTTTTTACTAAGTTTTTGTTCAGCATTCAACTTCAGCCAGAACCACATCCGATTGTAAATTTGATCGTTGTTGTTTCGTCGATAAAGCGTTCAGATTATCGAAAAGAAAGTTGATATTTTTAGAGCTGGATCAGATAAATCGCGGTTTGAACTGGTGGAATAAGAACAGTACCATGCACTCGGATACAGACAAGGCCCGACCAATTAATTTCGGTAGAACATTGCACACGCAAGAGTCAAGATGGAGGATGTTCGAGAGATTATAGATTGCGGTTAAAAACGCGGAGGTGGACGCCGAGAGTGATCACGCGGTTGAAAATCATGCCCTCGCTGCTGGGGGGGGGCTCGATCTCGAAATGATCGGTCCCGATCTCCCGTCGGACAAGTACCCCTCTCGCGATTTCGGCTGCGATCGCGACTTCGATCTCTTGGACGCAGTGGCATTAGCGCGTTCCAGCTACCTGGACCAGCACCAGAGCCATGCGGAGGACCAAGAGCAGGGCCAGGACCAGGACCATTGCCACCGGGAAATTGGTAGGCTTTTGAAAAGGATATGCGCATATGCGATTCCGGGTATCCCAAATTGTCGAGTCGGAGTAAGGCCATAATAGCCTCATCAATTGATCCCATCTCCACTAACGCCATCTTTGGGTTATTTTGCAAGAAATGAAAGTTCTTCACGAAGCCAAATTGCGAAAAGTGGTCGACAAGGGCATTCTGATTGCGCTGCAGCTCCATAGGAATTCCTGAAATGTGTAGCAGGGGGCAAGGTGAGACAGCCTCTTCTGGACTACGCCGTCGGTAGCGGTGAAGTGGTGAACCTGAGAAGTCCAAAGTATTTTCAACTTCGAAGCGGTCTGCATCAGCGTGCGGCATCGATACACTTGAGTGCTTCGAATAGTCAACCCGTAGCTTTTTTCCAAAGACGTAAACGCCATCCAAATGATCCAGTGCTGATGTCGACTAAAGAAGCCATTGATGTGAGTGTGTCGATGTTTGGCACAATGAATACGTTGAGGATTGCACTTACATGAACTTCATTAACAAACTGGATTAAAGCCGTGTCTCGCTTGCGGAACATGATCTTGATCCGAAGAACATCACCAAAGCAGCCGAAGAGCGTGAAGAGGCGGTGTGGACTCTGTTAAAGGAAAAAGCATTAATGAAATAGTGTACCCATATTGATGTGACAAAACTCACCACTAGCTCGCTATCGATATTACTGCAAATCAAAGCAGGTGATGGTCGAGTATCACCTCGAATCGCACGTCCCGTTGAATGAATTGGTAGTTCACGTCCACTTCTTGCATCACGAGGTCTATCCATCTGCGGAGGACGCTCATCGAACCTAGGAGCACCAATTCGGTTATCCCGCACGTTTGGATCACGAGAACCAACACTGAGAGCGTTCACGGGTCCACGATAGTCAAGCTCACCATTGCGTACAGGTGAGTTATTATATCTAATGTCCCGAAACTCATCGCGCTGCTCAGAAGAAGCTGTTAACATCGGCTCGCTCTCAGTTTGAGATTCACCACGACTTGGGCCCGGAGGAAGGTTGGGATTGGTGTAGTCCCGAGATCGGTCGTCATTGTATCGAACACGAAGTTCTGGGTGGCGCGAAAACACAATGCTGAGTTGGTTACAGCCTGTGTAAATATCTCGCCCATCCAAAGCGGATTGTGCGGCTTGGGCTTGATCAATCGACTCCATCTGAACTAGCGCCTTAAACTCGTTGTCCTTCCAAAATGTTACAATTTTCTGCACATTGCCAAATTTTTGAAATACCTGGAGTCCAGACGTAAGACTGTAAGCTTCTCATGCAACCGATTAGCCAAATTCTTCAGTCTCAATGAACAAACCTGTTGCAATACATCCACCGTAACGTCGTATTCGATGTTCGACACAGACACCATCAAAATTTGATTCGGTTGGCCAACGCCACGACGAGGGCCATCGTGCTGGATCATACTAAATTGCCCTAGACGTAGGAAGAATTTTCAAGATAATCGTTTGGTATAATATAAAGCGTGATATCATTTATCATACCTCCGTCTCCCGCTAGTAAAGATATATCGTGTTGTGGTGCAAATTGCATAGGTGGAAGCTGCTGATATTGACGATCTCCAAGTGCTTGCTGTTGTTGTTGATAAGAGGGTGAGGCATCATGGTCCAGTTGCACTTTGATTTCATCACGGTTGCTATACTCGAAAAATATTTTCTTGCTGCGAATTTGGGCATCATGCGTCTGATAAAACGTGACGAGATTAGAGGCCGAGACAACATCTGGCAATTGCACGAAGGCTTGGCGTTTTTGAGAAATCAGAAGGCACTTTTCCACGACTGCGAACGGACAGCAAAGCGCGAGCAGCTCGCTCTCCAGACAGTCAGAGGGTAGTCCACAGACAAAGATGACCTATTTGATTAGCAAGGACAGATAAGGACAGAGAGAGTGAGAAAGCGGGTGAAGTAGCAGGGTTACCAAGGTCAAACAAGGAATTAAGTTGTGTCAGTCAAGAAATTACCCGCGATGCCGTTTGAGAGCGCAGGCGCTTGGATGATTCGAAATCGTCAACACTTTCAAATTGGCGCTTCATGCCGCCATTTAGTGCCATCAGCGATAAAAAGAGAGGAAGCAATTAAGGGAGAAAGTCGACGGGAGAAGGAGTAAAGTCACAGGATAGGGCACGCGGCTGGAAAAGATAAGAGGCAACCGCGTAATCCAGTGCAGATTTAACAGGATCGATTGCTAGTCAATATCTGGGCAAGTTACTGAATGGACCTGCCAATACTACGAACAATAGCGCCCAGTCAGTCCAGGCTATGATAATTAAACGCATGTCGGACTCACCGGGTTTAATCGCTAGCTTAGGGCAAGTTTGAAATTAGTGGAGTATGTTGAGAACCTCTAAGTAGATCCCTCTATAAGGACAGTCGAAGTTTTTAGCATAGACACTATTCTGAGACATGAGGCTTGATCAAACTTATCAGGAAATGAAAATTAAGAAGCAACAAATGCATCTGCACAAGATGAAAGCAGTTCCATGTTATATTGATGTACTAGCATCCAAGTCGACTCGACAAGATGAAACAAAAATCAAATATACAGAGCAGACACACATTTGAGCGTAAAACACTTTCCAAGTGAGTTGCAACTTTTTAGCTCATTGTTCAAATCCGTATAAAAATTAGAGAAAAGCTATTTTGCGGATTTATCTTTGGTGTCAGTCAATGATTGGCTGGCTCCTGCTGCAGTTTCACTAAATTCCAGGTATTTCCCTAGGCTTCATAGTTTCTCCCTCATTCACCAATTGCAGGAGGAGCTAAAGACAGAGACGGCGAAAGCTTGGAAATTGTAAGCAATCATGGGTATGGCTTTTTCGCGCGTGTTTGAGCGCCTCTTTGGCAAAAAGGAGATGCGCATTCTTATGGTTGGTCTTGATGCTGCCGGTAAGACCACCATTTTGTACAAGCTTAAGCTTGGTGAGGTGGTTACGACCATTCCTACTATTGGTAAGCTTACAATCCTGCTGGATTCTCGATTGTTTCGTCTCGTATCTACCTATTTAATGGAGCAGAAGAATGCGAGACGCAAGCATTTTGGGTTTTCATTTTTGTTGACTTTCGGTCGAGATATGTCTGACGAAACCGTTACCTTTATTTACAGGATTCAATGTGGAGACAGTAGAGTATAAAAACATTAGTTTTACAGTTTGGGATGTGGGTGGTCAAGACAAAATCCGTCCGTTATGGCGTCATTATTATCAGAACACACAGGGTCTTATCTTCGTGGTTGATTCGAATGATCGCGACCGTGTGGACGCAGCCCGTGATGAGCTACATCGCATGCTTAACGAAGACGAGCTGCGAGATTCGGTGCTTCTGGTTTTTGCGAATAAGCAAGATCTGCCAAACGCAATGAGTGCTGCGGAGATGACGGATAAGCTTGGCTTGCACGGTCTGCGCCACCGCCAGTGGTTTATTCAGGCGTGTTGCGCGACGACGGGTGATGGTTTATACGAAGGCTTGGACTGGTTGTCTGCAACACTTCAGAAAGCAAAATAAATAGCTCGCGCTTGGCGCACCTAATACGTCGGCCGGTAGTGGGAGATATAGACGACTATATATCATGGGTAGTTGGCGCTGCTATAAATTTTGCATTATACTCACACATATCTCACTAGCAGGATGTCCTCGTAACTTCAACATGTTCGGTCAAATATCCAAATTTTTATGCAAGTTGGTCCTTATGTATATTGCGAATGCGTCTCGTACAAATCGAAAATCTCGATAAAAACGATTGATATTCAAATGTATTGAAAAACATTTAGAGAAGATCTGGCTGGCAAATCGCGGCAACGTAAAAGATGAAGTAGATGCTTTATTATAAAGATTATTCAGAAAGGTTTGAGTGTTGCCACCGAAGCGATAGGTATGGATAAAATGCATTATCAAGCTTTCATGTCCATTGGCGCTCATAAAGCAAAAACACATGATATCGCAAAGGTCACATTTGACGCGAAATAACCGATTTAGATTAAGAAGAGCCAAAATGGCGGCCTCGAGAGGCTAGATATTGCAGTATCAAAGACCACGGGTCTGGTAAGAAAGTAGGGGTCACACAATCGTGTGTGTTAGACAGATTGGTGTGACCACACAATGGTGTGGCTGCACCGTAACAGTAACATGGCTGTAACAGCAGTAGTTATACGTTGAATTAGGTTTTACCATATAGACAGGAAAACCTGCATATTTAGATACAGGCAGCTTTTGCCGCAAGAGAAACACAGTTTTACGTTTAAAACGGAAGAGTCAATTAGCCTTGGGTAAAGTTTGTAGTTACTCTTGGAGTAAGTGGATTGCGATCCGCTACACTCGTACTGCTTCTAAGTATAGAACAAAAAACACCGACCTTAACAACGATCACCAACCTTAATAAATCTCCCTCTAAGCTTAAGGACTACGGGAGCCCCGCTGCAACCTATTTGTGAAAAACAGTTCGATTATCCACATTGGTGGGCATGCTGACATGCATGTGAAGGACGGACAGATCCAGCTCCAGAACATACCAAGCTCGTAAAAGTTGTCACACATGCATCTTGTCAGTCACTATATTATTTGTGTTGTTATCGCACCAAAACGTTAGTATGAAGGCGATCGCTTGCTATGTGACGCGAAATAATCATCAATCTTGTGTCGCTGAATCTCAGTACATTTGATATCTCGATCAAATTATAGTTTTCAGCTGACGATCCATCAATATTCTCTCTGGTGCCAAGCTTCTGCCCAGGCTGAAGCATCTCAACGACGGCTATGCCAAATGGGGATCTTAACATGTTATTAAAAAAACAACAAGAACGACAAGAGTGGCATCATCACAGACCTCGAGTGCATCGATATAGGGCTTTTCAGCGGTCGTTGATCTTTTGGCCTCGCAGTAATTTGTGCTTTTGATAGGGAGTGCTCGACTTATTTTTTTACGCGGGTCATCACAAACCACACTTACAACAAAGCTCTCGAGAACTCTGCATTGAAATTTTTTTTGCGACGATTCGCTAAAGTGCCGCTCTCAATGTGGGTTCTACCGACCACGGACTCAAGTAGTTAGTCGATTGACCTGATACCGGAATGTACCCGGTTGATACCCATAGGATCCAAAATAAGGCAGCCGGAGATGGGCCATCAAGAGAATGACCAACCACACTTGAACATCGTGTCTGCCCCGCCAGCTTACACCCGATCGGGTGTTTGATAGTTAGGTGGACTGGAGACCCCACTGACTGAGCAAGCCCCATGGCGGTACGAGGGGTAAGGAGCCCAGTCTTAAACAGGGTCAGATAGCTATCAGCATCACGCGCTAACGAAAGCTTAATCCTAGCCCTTTCGAGTTCCGGTAGCTTATATCTCAATGTGGGCTCGTGCACTAGGACCGCAACCAAGTGTTTTTGTGTACCAGAGATAGATCTAGCTTGAACAGATTTTGGACCCATTTGTTTTACTATCTACATGAAACAAACCTTGGCTACTGCATAGCGCAAAGCCAGCTCCAAAAGAATCCTCCTCTACGACACTCGTCAAAAGGATTTGTTGAAATGTGTGCGTACTCCGTCATATGGTAAGTAACCTGTCTTCTTTTGAAATTAGGAACCCTTGTCCAGACTCTCATCAGCTCACACAAACATTTTCTACAACGGGGTTCTCCCCAAGTATTTTAAAATGTTGCGGACCATCGAGAAAGGCTCGGCCAGCGACTTTAAGGCCATATATGGCGAGACAGACGACTTTTAATTCGATGTGAGCGGTTGCAGGGATTCTTCGATCCCGACACATCCCACGACAACCCTATTGAAAATAATGCGGCCACGATGTATCCCTTTTACGGAAGATTCTCCAAGGTGCGCTCTCCATGACAGTATAAATGATAAGATACCCCGAAAAAAAATGAGCGCTCGAAATTCGTTTTAAATTCACTTGCAGGTCCCACAAGCCACCGTATCGCTTGTGTATCAATTAGCGGCAGGCGGATGTTTCGTACCTACCGTAAAGTTACGCTCATGGTGGCAAATGTGGCGAATAGGCTCTACGAGCGCTATAGAAGACATGATCCTAGCCTATGTTACGGTATTACAAGCGTAATGTAACAAACGAAGGATATGCCCAAGGCGTATATTTTTTGCATTTGCATAGTACAAGTACACCGACGACATCATCTACAGTATGTTGTAAACAGACTCTCTCTAGCAATGCAAATTTTCTCCTTCTTTATGGTAAGCGTGTTGTACTTTTGACTCTGTTTCTTCTTCTTACGATGTAAAACAGAGGGTTTGCCCAGTTGGAGCGGCAGTGGTACCAAGCAATTCGTGTCGAAGTAGAGCCTCCGATTTCCATGAGCTCTTGGAGCAAGCTTAAGTCTTTCACTTCACCAGGAGCTGGTCACAATCCAGGTGGAATGTCCGGCCGCTTTCCGTAGAAATAAAGTTAGATATTTCATGCTTGCCGAGCAAAGCTTTCAGGTGAGAAAATCTACTGTAGCTGGCACTCATGGTTGTAACAGAACGTCGATCGTCTGATTCTGCTCATCATGGCATTCATATATAAGCGGCGCGCACTCGGCGCGTAGCGAATAATAAATTGTAGGTTTTCTCCAAAGTGTAGCTACAATAATACATTTACCCAACTACGAGACGTATACCGCGTTGATCAGCACAAAGTCAATGAACAGCAGCGTTTGCTTCGCTACTACGATTGCTCCAGGCAAGTAGTTCGGCATGTATACTTCACCGCCAGTAATCGCGTTGCGCCTATCGATGTGTTTGTGAAAAATTTGCGGGTATCATGTCCAGTCTGTGTCAATCACCTGAAACAATTCTCGCCGAGATTCGAAATAAGCGCAAATTTTGATCTTAAACAATGTTCACCGGCAAGGCAAAGATTATTCTGGAATTGCTTGATCGTTTCCCCCTATTTGGTATCACTAATAGCAACGAGATAAGATATCTTGTTCAGACAGCCCACATAAGCCAAACTGGCGATATTATATCTTTTTTGGGAAGACTGCTAATATTCTGCCAGAAACGACAAGCTTCACAAGGGTGTCACCGCATGCGGCTCAGTATGGGCAGTAAGCACATATATGTAACGGGAATTGCCCGCCCGTGTACACTCACTACAGAAGAAAGACTCAAGTCAATCGACACGCCTCACCGCGTGTTGCCCGCTTCCAGCAGGCCGTTGACTAGCGTAAAGAGAAGAAAAGTTGAAGTTTCATTTATTATTATAGCCATTAGGATTTAAATCTCCCTGATCTGAGAAGTACTTCCAGTTCTGAAACAGCGGAACTGAAAGAAGATATACTACTAAACATGGTGTACAGTTAAGGTAAGACACTGAAAACATGGCTTATAACACCAACACCCATTCAAAAATGGGTTTACCCAAATTCGTCGATTATTCTTCAACTCTTCTCCCGCTCTTCGTATCGCTCTATCCAACTCTCGCTAGAGTGACAACCCACACGCTTGCTCTATATGACATTTTCGTCACCATCGAACTTGAATTTTATTACAATACCACGGCATTTAGCGCATTTGTGTTATCGTGAGCTTAAACGTCACGACGACTGCTACACAAAACGTGATGGGTCCACCCTAGAGTTCAGCGAATTTTTTAGTCGGATATGTGCTCGACTGATGACGCAAGTCGCGAATTCACGCACCATCGGGCCGATTACTCGTGCTGGAGGCGAGCCACGAAGCCTCACATATAATCCGTACGTCCAACAATCCTCTTTGGATTTCATCCAGACAATCAACAATCGATTCTATGCGTGGCCATGGGTCTATTTGACCAAATCCGTGGATTTGGTCAAATATCCACCGTTTGGAAAGCGCAAGCACCGCTGCTGAAGTGGTGAAGGTGCGCGATATGCGCTTTCAGCTTGCGCATTTGACAGCGCAGACTGGGTGTCACTCTAATGTCGAGGATGCTCGTGAAGTGCTCTCTGTCATTAGTCGGCCTCACGACGAGCGGGACAGGGAAAGAAGAGCAAGCTTCAGTGTTCCAAAGCGGAGTCCGTCGCCGGACCCGCATCAAACTTGCGAACGATACTGGGCAGTCGCAACGAATATGAGTACAAGGCTCCCATGTATTCTCGCTCGCTGGATACCCCAGCCAGTCCACCAAGAGCTCCTCTCGATCGCAGACGTTTCTCGCCGCCACCACGTTTTTTAAAGCGGTAGTATCGACTCTTTTGTCAATCTAGAAGAGGGGGGAGGTGGTCGGAGCGGCTGTCCCCTCTGCTTCTTCTGTGGCTGGTCCACTGCCTGTACGCATTGTGACTGCGCTTGACAAAGGTGGAGAAGCTTCTCTCGCTGATGAACCAGCGGCAGATCGAGGTGACTGATCGGGTGTCGTCGACGCTGCAACGCGTGAGGGATAATCAATAGGTCGTTGGCAAAGCTTGCGAGTTTGTATGGCGTCATTGAAGCTTGCCCGCGGACGTAATCGAGGATCGATTCCACCGAATAGAGCAGGCTTGGCAAGCTCTTCCTCCTGCTGCGGCTGCTACCGCTGATGATGCAGGGCCTCCTGCCAAGCGATCTCACTCTTTTTTCGGGCGTTCCTAATATTTCTTAACATTCTGAGGGCGATGCTGATGCAACAACGCCAACGGGATCAACCTCCGACCTTCGTGCCGAAGCCATAACTCTAAAGCCATCTCCTTATAAGATGAAGTTACATTTAGGTGGGAAACTGTGTTGTCGCAATGGTAAGGTTTGAGGGGTCATACTTAAGACATCGGATCTCGTCAAGTTGATAGTGTACGCATTCCCATGGCATGACACTACTTGGAATGGACCGATGAAGCGAGGAACAAGCTCCGAGCTTTCCAAACTTGAGACCGCATCGTCTGATAGGTTCTTAGAGCTACTTAGTACAAAAAACCCATCAGACGATGCGGTCTCAAGCTGATATGTACTACTTTGTACATACTTCCCCAAAATAAATAACATTTTGCTTCGACGACCTCGTCTATATGCATGCAGATCGTGCACGTCACCATTGCATCTCGCGCCCGTGTGATCATTTAATAATTAATGATGGATGAGTCCGGGGCGCCCTTATATTTGCACTTCACAATCGCATCACTAGTCAATTAATTTGCGAGGCAACGATTTGCCGAGTTCTCCCCCACTTACATCAGCGATACCACCCATCACAAAGCGGTATTTGCGTGTGTCACAAGCCATTCATGAAAAATGGTGTAAATTCAGTAAATGACTGAACTGAAGTATTCATTGCAAACTCAACCAATGAAACACCATTCTGTGGGATTCTACGCACAGAAGCATCTTCAACACATCACCGACCATTCGGTGGCACGTTCTATTTGCCCATCGGACTTCGGGTGTATTGCTGTGAACATTTTCAAGCGAGTACCAAGAACTCGGAACAGTTCGATCAAAAATAACTCGTGATTCGTGTATCACGATCACAGACGACGGCGTCTGACAATCCGTGATTGTGAAAAACATGACCAATGAACAATCTAACTGAGGCTTCGATGTCGATAAAAACGCTACACGGACCGATGCAAGCCATCTTGCTGAGTCTGTCAACAAAACAAGCACCCCACTGTGGCCATCAGCCAGCCGAAAATAAAGTCGAGAAAGACTGACTTCCAACGGTCAGTAGGAACAGGAAGATTTTGCGGTGTCACTTGCATGTGCCTTGCGCTTCACTCCCTGACAGACATCGCATGTCGCCACGTATCATGCCACTCACTTGTCCGTGTGGACACGCCAAAATTGGGCACTGAGAGACTGGCATGTCTTCTCGCAGCCAAAGTGACTGGTCATCAGCGTAAAATGCGCCTCGTATACCACCTTGTTCTTACAATCATCGTTGTGGGGAACCGCAATTCGTGGCTTGTCGTCACATCCAACTTCATAGGGAAGGAGACCATCATTCCTTGCATAACGACGCAACCTTGGTTTCAAGCGACCAGAAAGCTTGTCATGGAATTCCATACCACTCGATGACAGTGCTCTGATGATCAGATCACACTGTTTCTCTTCAACATACGCTCGACGTTTCAAATCGAATACATCGCTTTCGATATAATTGATATGAGCTATCTCATATCCATGACGACGTGAACCAGCACTTCAGTTTTCCTGGTTTGTACTCAGCCCTGGGTTGTATTCTGCGAAAAATGACAACCGGCGAGCTCTTCGCTGTGACAAGCGAGGCGACTGAACCCATAACGTAAGCTTGCGCGATCTGTGTAGAAGGCAAACGGAGTTAAACAAATGAGGCGAGCACGTAACCTCATCAGAGCATATTTCATTGCTAAAGGCTCCTTGTTGTGGGCAGGGTAGTACTTTTCTGCTGGCTTCAGCTGTCGCAATTGCAACGACACGACACGATCGTGTACATATGAATCCTTCTGCAATAGTGCACAACCTATTGCAAACTCAGAAGCGTCACACACCACGATATGCGGCTTCGTATCATCTAATAAAGCAAGTAATGGCGCTTCCATGCCCACCACCGATTTATTCGTTATAAAAAGGCATGTCTCATACACCACTTGATCCATCAACGCGCGTTTTGAGTGACCATCCGTGGCCACTTCATACGTCCTAACCTGGAGAATGTCATTTGCGTGACATAACCAATGAAGAGTGAATCATTTTGACTGCCTAACGCTTGGGCGCTTCTTCTGGTGCATTGTGAATGTGAGCTTATTAACCCCACGAGTTTCATTTTCGCCAGGAGACCTACTCCTAATCGTACTCGATTGCCAACCAATCTATGGCTCGTGCTTTCAAAACCACGGTATACCTAAAATACCTTCATACCGTTTGTCCATCTCAAGGACAGTATATACTTTCTTAAAGTTGAAGTGTTTAACCTTCACTTGAAGACTAACCGGAATGTTCTTCGCGGTTAACCGCATCAGTGGTCAGCTTCAATGAGATTCAGCTAAAACCTCTTTATATTGCATCTGAAAGCTCTGAATTGATTTCAGCAGCACTTTGCTTCCGCGCATAGTTTCGCGACGAGCCAGATTCAATTAAGGCTCTTAACGACCGATCGTATCCCTTCATACTGCTGTGGCCACTCCGACTCGTGTCGTTAACGAAGGACAGCAATCCTTCGAGGGCTAAACACTCATGCGTGATTCAACCACTACACTCACAGGAGCTTATCACTACTGGGTAGTGATAAGCTCGGGCGTTTACCGAACACCTCGTGGTATTGGTACTATGTGGCTCGGGGCCATCACGATGAGAGCCATATTGGAAGGATTGTTTCTTACGTGGACAATAACGGCGGATGTGACCGAATTGTTGACATTCGTAACAGCAAACTTACTACCCACGGACAGTCACCGCGCTAAGATTCGTTGGTATCGGGATTCCGGTAGCATCAGTCACTGCTTCCATCGGATTGACCGATTGACCA